GATCCTCCCTATACGCAAAGTACGCAAGCTGCGTAGGGCCCCCGAAACACCAGGGGGCCCCCTTGCTCTCAAAGATGATTTAATTTTAGTTTTGTTTTTGAATTTGGCCAGCGGTTATGAAAACCACTTATGTCATTTCTTTTAATGTGGTGCGCTGTCGCCCTTTCTACGTAAAAATCAGTCAAATCATGTAACGTGAATGTCATGCAGTGTCTTACCCGAGACAAAAAAAAAAAAACGAGTTGAAAGGGTACCGGGCTGCGGAAGAGACACCGTTTCTCAAGCGGACAAAGGTGTTTCATTCATTCATATCTCGTCATTCATAACCCCCAACCATCCCGCCCCGCCGACACAGTTTTGCGTAGGGCCCCCAGAAGTCTAGGATTGGCTCTGTAAATAAATATATTAATATTTCATTCAGTACTGAAAATATTACATAAAACATACACCACCATTTAAAAGTTTGGGTTTAGTAAGATTTTAGTAAGAAATAGCAAGAAATTAATACTTTTATTTAGCAGTGATGTATTAAATTGCTCCAAAGTGACAATAAAGACGTTACAAAATATTTATATTTCAGTTATGTTCTATGTCATATTTAAAACTTACTGACTCCAATTTTTGAATGGTAGTGTAATTTAATCAAATTAAAAATCAACTTACCCAGTATTTTTGTATATGAACTATATTTTTTAGGCTTCTTAGAGCCAAAACATTAAGTAAGCTAAATTTCTCAGTGTGGTGCTGCAATATGTTTAGTCTTTGAAATTGGTCACTTATGGGCTTCCATTTTAGACACGATGTTTTACAAGCGTACAGCAAATGTGTTTTTACTTAGTGTTTATCACTCCACATAACATGATGCATGCAAACAGACAATAAATCCCTCAGTAAAAGCAGGAGCTTGCTGATTTAAGGAGAGTTTTATGCTCTCACACTACTTCATACACTAACTCTTAAAATAAGTCAAATAAACCACAAAATAATGCGACTGACATAGTAAGTGGTGTTTGATGTGTAGATATCACTGACACAAAAATCCAGAACTAGCCAGTTCAAGTCCAGGCATGTTTCCCTGAGTCTGAGGGAGGACTTAGTTTGTCATTTCAGCTGACTAATACACTTTTTAGAGGGCTATAAACTGCAGGTGGTGACCTTCCTCGTGGGCTGTTACACTAACTGCTTGTTGATTTTCTATGTGAAATATAAGCTGTTGCTGTCAGTTAGTTTGCCTGAGGCAAAACAAACAAACGACTGACTTCTGACATATGCCTCCATCAGGAGACAGTGGAGAAGATGAAGACCAGCACAAAGGAGGTCTAAACCAGGACAGACACGAGGAGTGAGATGACGTGGACGAATTCCTCTCTTACTGATCACAATCAGGATTCCTGAGATTATGTACTGTTAATGGAAGAATCACACCATTTTATTACTTTTATTGCTATCCATACTGCATCTATTCTGTAGTTAATGTGTTTTATGTTGCGGTTTACTTTTCTATGTATTTCATTAGCTTTTCACCATTTTGTATGTTAATTTGTGAGTCTTCAAGTGCTGTAAATTGTTTGATTGTGTCACTCCAAACAGGCCTCAGCACTTTGTTATGGGGGCCCTTGTTTTATTCACTATTGTTTGATTTGATGTATTATTCTTTATACCGTTTATTTGTTTGTGTGTCTACAGTTATATGTGGAAATATATTTTTTGTTTTTGTTTTTTTTTTTGATTGAGACAATGGCAATAGAAAAAGAAAAAAAAAGAGGAAAGGATTCGAGAGTGATGCTGAGAGAGCAAAACAACACGGGTTCGTCCATCAAACTGTGACTTTAGAGCTTCAAAACGAGAGATGTCCTTCAGTCAGATGGTAGATACTCATGCTAAAACATCTACACGCTAGAAAGAGCTTGATGGATATAAATGCAAGCTAAATGAAGCTTGTCATGGCCGCTCTCTCTCTCTTTCACTCTCATCTTGAAGGCAGTCATAGTCTTGAGACCTTTCGTAAAGGTGCTAATGTTAGTATTCCTCTGTTTGCTGCTTTGCTCTCTTGCTTTAGACGGTAGATAATGCTCGGTAGGACATGAAACACTAGAAGCAGAGACGGCATGGCTCAGTGGACAGAGCAGGCAATACCTTTGAATTTTAACATCATTATGGGACAACAAACCCACCATGTTGTTAATACTTGACAAACATGCTTTTTCTGCCATTAGCGACTTCGATTAGAGTAGATCACCTCCATTAGTAGAAAACAGCTGCACAGATGCGTTGGCTACGCTTGAGCTTGTATTTATGTTAGTTGCTAGAGGCAGTTCATGCTGAAACTCTCACACTGTGCTCAGTCCCATTCTGATGCTGGGGTTAAATCGACAAAATGAACTAACAAGCCAGATTTATAAAAAAAATAAAGCAGCTGAGCTCACAAAGATGGGACTGAGTACAGATGGAGTGATCTGAAACCAAAGCCTGATGTTTAAATTGTTGTACGAAAACCTCCAGGTATATCACTACTCTGGACCCAGCAACTACTTTATACCTGTTACTTAAAATAACTGTCAGAATAAGGATTAGAGTTGCTATTGCATCTGTAGTGTAGATGCATTCTTACCCACTTAAGAGAATGTGTGTGTATGTGTGCAAAATGCATTTGTGTGTGTGTGTGTGTTAGCATGTTTAATTTCCACTAACAGTACGGATCCTTTGTGGTAATGAGTGCCTTATATATACAAACAGTGTGCCGTGGATGAAGTGGCTTCTTCTGTAGGTATAAACCACCTAATATAGGACACGTTGAATCGACAAAATGAACTAACAAGCCAGATTTATAAAAAAATAAAGCAGCTGAGCTCACAAAGATGGGACTGAGTACAGATAGAGTGATCTGAAACCAAAGCCTGATGTTTAAATTGTTGTACGAAAACCTCCAGGTATATCACTACTCTGGACCCAGCAACTACTTTATACCTGTTACTTAAAATAACTGTCAGAATAAGGATTAGAGTTGCTATTGCATCTGTAGTGTAGATGCATTCTTACCCACTTAAGAGAATGTGTGTGTATGTGTGCAAAATGCATTTGTGTGTGTGTGTGTGTTAGCATGTTTAATTTCCACTAACAGTACGGATCCTTTGTGGTAATGAGTGCCTTATATATACAAACAGTGTGCCGTGGATGAAGTGGCTTCTTCTGTAGGTATAAACCACCTAATATAGGACACAGTGCACATTAATTTTCCAGTATTATGGTAGACAGCAATTGCCTTTTATATGTCTGTATGATTGTCTTATTCAATGGGACAGAATTAAAACCTTTTATTGTAAAAACTCTTGCTCTGTTTTATTCATATTCACTTCTCTGGTTATTATTTGAAATGTAATTTGTGCTAATAATAATGTAATAATAAAAATAAAAGGAACGAGAGTTGATCTCTTAAGACTTACAAAAATTTGTTATGATCTATCATGTGGATTTTTCATTTTTATCATTTAATTTTTAGAGCTACTATCCTGCAAAAACCATTTTGAATGTGGCTTACATGTTTTAGTTCACAAGTGGCTGTAAGAAATGGTTACATGAGAGACATTCTTGCACAACGAGTTAAAGGTTTTCACAATGTTTTAATGTCTTTGTGTTAATCTATTTATTTCGTCCCAATGTATCATTTCATACGCCGTTTCTACATCAGTAATTAAATTATTTCAGTGGTCAGTAAAGTGCCATTAAATCACTGCTGATTCTAACTTTGCATCATTTTAAAGTTTAAGGCAGCAGTTACAAACTACAGTTTTCTATTTTAGTTTATTGAATTTTAGTCAGGGTAAACAGGCCTGAAAATGGTGCCATTAGACATATAGTTCCCAGTGTTATTTTAGTAAATTTATATACTATTATAGTATTTATTAATATTTTGAATTAGCCTGTTTTTATATTTTCAGCTTCATTATAATTAAAGTTTTACTAAATTTGTGCTTTTGTTATTTATTCATTATTTCAGTTCAGTCACTTTAGTACTAGCTCCCAGGGCGACATTTCTAATGTTCGTTTAAGTTGTTTAGGTTTTTATCTAATATTTTATTTTATTTCAGCTTTATGTCAAGCTACAATTTTAATAAATGTAGCTATAGCAAACACTATTTTCTGGGGGAAACCAATTACAAAACCTGAATTGTTTGACAAAATATCAGCATTAGTGTACTCCCTTGTAGAATTAAATCCTTCTGTATTAAACAGATCTGTATAAACTAGAATAAACAGCCAAAGTTATGACAACTCTGCAACCTTGAACTGACCTATAGATAAACCAGATGATGGATGGGTTAAGAAACTTGCTGACTTCTTGCATAATGAAATCTAAGTGCTTGCATAACCAGCAAAAGCACCCTAAAAACTAAAGAAAATACATGGATTTTAACGAGAAGAGACTGGATGTGTCGTTCTAGAAGAGAAGGGGGGAAGTTTGTTCCAGTTATTTGTAGTAACGTTGGGCTATACATGTTAGCCAACTCGCTAGTTCTAGAAAAGGGTTAATTCAGTCGGGCGGAGCCAAACTCCAGTTGAGCCCAGAAGCGTGAATGTTATAGTGAGCGCTTGATGGGCCGTCTTTGATAATGACTGTAATGTGTGAATGCTGCCATTAGGCCGAACTCATATTTAGGTTACACATGGAAGTTCGGGACGCTTGGCGTTGGAAGTAAACTCGCTCGAAGTGTTGGGAAACAGCTTTAACCAGAAGAAGGAGGTCTCTTTTCCGTTATCGACTATTAAAATGGAGGGATTTGAAGGAGCCAGCAGCAGCGAGAGTGTTTTAGATCTGTCCCGTCTGAATCTGAACAATAACAGCTTGGACACGGTCAGCGAGAAACGACGGAAAGACACGACGCAACTGTATCTGTGCTACAACCGCATGACGGCTTTGCCCGAGTCCATCTCTTTATTCTCGAACCTGGAGTTTCTCGACATCAGTAACAACTCGCTGTCGGGGACGCTTGGCGTTGTAAGTAAACTCGCTCGAAGTGTTGGGAAACAGCTTTAACCAGAAGAAGAAGGTCTCTTTTCCGTTATCGACTATTAAAATGGAGGGATTTGAAGGAGCCAGCAGCAGCGAGAGTGTTTTAGATCTGTCCCGTCTGAATCTGAACAATAACAGCTTGGACACGGTCAGCGAGAAACGACGGAAAGACACGACGCAACTGTATCTGTGCTACAACCGCATGACGGCTTTGCCCGAGTCCATCTCTTTATTCTCGAACCTGGAGTTTCTCGACATCAGTAACAACTCGCTGTCGGTCATCTGCGAGGACATCACCCGACTGACCAAACTCAAGACCCTCATAGCCAAGAACAATCGTTTAAATGAGTTTTCTCTGCCCAAGCACTTTGGCTCTCTGCAGCTGGAAGTGCTGAATTTAAGTGGGAACAGGTTTGAGGAGATGCCGAGCCAGTGTCTGCAGCTGTTGCGCCTCCAGTCTCTGTCTCTGGGAGGAAACAGACTGAAGAGCATCCCAGCAGAGATCGAGAGTCTCACCAGGTAACGCGCGAACACCTGCATGACTTTCTCAAAAAGTCTAAAGATTAAATAGCCCAACTTTCTAGGTCATTCCTGTTTAGTAGATAAGTGTCGCTAATCTTAAACGTTATACGTGTTGGACGGAATAACAAACTCGTAATTTTGTAAATACATATGTTTTGCTACCTCGAGTGGATGTTGTCCATTTTTGTCATATACTTGAGTGCCAACTTCCGAGTCGCGTACTGGCGTCACACTCAAGGAAATGACATCATTTTAGGTGGGAAGCTGGGCAGTGTTGCCAACTTAGCGATTTTGTTGCTAGATTTAGCAACTTTTCAGACTACCCTAGCAACTTTTTTTTTTTCAAAAAGCACCTAGCAACAAATTTATCTATTTTTTAAAAGTTGTTGGTAACTTTTAGCAACTTTTGTAAAGTGAGGCAAATGATAAAAAAGACATATTTTCATCTAAATTACACAAAAAGAGGAAACCATTGAACAGCTAGCCAGCCAAGCAGCACATCAACATGGAGAGAGCTAGAGAAAGAACAGTACAAACAAATGTGCATTAAGTTGCTAGTTCCAATTGGTCAATAATAAATGCACATTTATGATACAGCATGTTATTAGCTTGTAATTGTTGTTCAGTTAGGTACACTGTAAGAAAAAATATGTGGAAAAACTGAAAAAGTACTAGTCATTTTCTGCCAGGATGTTATCCATTAAGTTGTAACCTGTAACCTTCAAACACAAAATGCAATGTGGAATTTAAAACACAGGTAAAACACCTGTAAAAAATAAATACGTATTGTCCCTTCATATAAACAGTACATTGTGTCCTATTTTTATAGACTTTTGTGTAGCACACTAATTAACTAGTACACTGCTTAAAACTATAATTGTTCAGAATGTGCAGTTTTACTAGTTAATAAGAAAATACATAAAATGTGTAACTGTTCAATAATTCAATGTTGTAAAAAATCAGATCATAAAGATGTGCTACTTATGTTACTTTTACAAATTAAAATATTTTATGTTTATAATATTTTTACTACCCTAGCAACTTTTTTTTTTTCAAAAAGCACCTAGCAACAAATTGAGCTATTTTTAAAAAGTTTTTGGCAACTTTTAGCAACTTTTGTAAAGTGACTCAAATGATAAAAAATACATATTTTCATCTAAATTACACAAAAAGAGGAAACCATTGAACAGCTAGCCAGCCAAGCAGCACATCAACCTGGAGAGAGCTAGAGAAAGATGCCTAACAGTACAAACAAATGTGCATTAAGTTGCTAGTTCCAATTGGTCAATAATAAATGCACATTTATGATACAGCATGTTATTAGCTTGTAATTGTTGTTCAGTTAGGTACACTGTAAGAAAAAATATGTGGAAAAACTGAAAAAGTACTAGTCATTTTCTGCCAGGATGTTATCCATTAAGTTGTAACCTGTAACCTTAAAACACAAAATGCAATGTGGAATTTAAAACACAGGTAAAACACCTGTAAAAAATAAATACGTATTGTCCCTTCATATAAACAGTACATTGTGTCCTATTTTTATAGACTTTTGTGTAGCACACTAATTAACTAGTACACTGCTTAAAACTATAATTGTTCAGAATGTGCAGTTTTACTAGTTAATAAGAAAATACATAAAATGTGTAACTGTTCAATAATTCAATGTTGTAAAACATCAGATCATAAAGATGTGCTACTTATGTCACTTTTACAAATTAAAATATTTTATGTTTATAATATTTTTATGAACAAATAACATTTAAAAAGTATTTTTCGCTGAGATTTGAGTAATATCGTTGTGTATTCCACATACAAATACTGTTTTGTGTAATGGTTATGCAATGACGTCATCACGCAATGACATCACAACGTCATTTAGCAACTTTTAGCAACAAATCATTCTGCCTTTAGCAACTTCCACTGAAAATTAGTTGGCAACACTGAAGCTGGGAAAGATATGAGCACAATGATTCAACACACGTAAACTTACATCCTTTGGTGGCAGTTGTTATATTTATCAATAGACACTTATTGCTGTGGCGCTACATATGCGCTTAAGCTTTGCTCATAAATACATGTAATGCACATGTAAACAAATATGTGAATAGGGTAGGCTACATATAAACACAACTTTCATAATCTAAAAATCAGTTTGGATTTATTCGGATTTACGAAACAGACTGAATGTGAACATCCCTAATGTGTTAGCATTTATGTAGCAACACCCTCGGTGATCAAATTACTCGAACTCTTTATTTCTGTCCTGTTGAGTTGTATAAATAATCAAGTTATAATTGTCTGGTTCTGAGACACTTATAATTTAAGTGTCTGAGTTCGACCGGAGCATATATCTGAAGTTACAGAGTTCAAGAGGTACTGTATAACAAGAATGGCCCTGCTGATGTGTAGCTTGACTGATTAATGATGGTTCAGTGTTGAAAATAGTGATTATTGGTTATTTAATGAAAGATGAGGGCAAATGTGTTATGTGAAAGCAGCTGTCCTGATGGACTTAATGAAAGCGGCTGATTACACAATAGCAGGCATTTTGAGAGGTACTGTAGAGGTACGTGAAGCCGGATATGAAGTCAGCATAAGTTACCCAACTTGTCCGAAAGTATGACTGGTAATACATCTTTTGAAATAATATGACTTGTGATCAGTCACAGATGATTTATAGGACATACTCTTATATATGACTCATCTTTCATCTTTAATTTATTAGGGACTCAAATCTTCTTCTCTGGATGTTTGTCAAAGAAAATGAAACGGCAGAGGAATGTGAAATAGGCCTGACACAATAACATGGCACACACTGTGCACCATTTTCATCAGTAAATAACTGGGAATGTAACATGCTGTACTTCTTATGTTCTGGCTGATGCAACTTCAGAAGGGTATGATCCAAAAGACAAGGCTGCCTTTTTCCCTGTTTATACCCTGTGCTCTGAACAAAGTGCAATGTGAGCAAAAAAAAAGAAGTCATGTTGACGACTATCTCCCCCGTTCCCTTAATATGTCCGTTTCTTTAGTGTTTCCGAGCTCTTTCTCAGTAATTCTGTCACAGTGCCAATTGAACAGTGTCCTGAACAGTCGGGACCCCCACACGAAATAGGTCTGCACTAGGACCCAGGGGGTATAGCCGGTTTAAGTGTAGCTTGTATGCTGTCAGTTCTCTGTTACAGTGCTTCAGTTTGCTGTATTGGTGATCTTATTCTCGATATATATATACTAAAGGTTTATTGTTTCACATTTTATTATTTGCATGTTTTTACCAGATGATCAAAGGTAATATGAGATTTAATAACAGGCTAAGCTAGTAATATATTTAAATCAGGCACTGAATAGATTACAAATTATAATATCTTTTAACCAGAGAGATCATGCGGCATAAAATAAGTAGTCTTACAAACAATTTGTGATTGTTGGTTAGTTTGGTTAAAGGCTTGGAAGTGTTTACTAGTTAGCAGATGCATTTCTCTGCCTAACCTTTGTTTACCAAGTACCTGCTTCCTTATGCTGGCAAGTTCATTCTGAACCTTATCAGACTTATCAGTCTTTATTTATTTAGTCACGTGCATATTAATACTTCAGAATGTCAAGGAAATGGAGCTCCCAGAGCATGACTCACGGTCTACCAGCCCAGTGGTTGATGATTACGGTACGTTACTAACTGATTGTGGCAATGACTGATATGGGAAACAGCAGACAGCCATCATAGAGTCTACATGTAGTCTGCAGCTGTAGAATCTGAAGGATCATGTGACTCTGAAGACTGGAGTATTCAAAATTCAGCTTTGCCATCACAGGAATAAATTACATTTTAAAGTATATTAAATTATTAATCAGTTACTTTAAATTGTAATTTCACAATATTACTATTTTTGGTGTATTTTTGATCAAATAAATGCAGCCTTGGTGAGAATACGAAATTTCTTTCTATAACCTTTGAACGGTAGTGCTCTTATAATACAAATATCATCTGCTTATATTGAAATATACTTGTAATGCCATGACAGTGAAGTGCTTCTTTTCAGCTAACCACAGAAAAGCCTCTGATTAGGGCTTTAGTTCTCACTGTTCACTGCACTGACAGTGAGAGTGAATAGGAAGCTCTCAGAGCTGCAGGATCAGTTTGCCATGTGGCTGTGCTGGAACCGTGAGTCTGCTGAGGCCGACTTGGCTGCGAGCCATCCCATCATAAAGAGATGTGCCCTGTTGGCCCACATTACACACAGAGTTGGTCCTTTTCAAGAGATCTGGGCCTCTTTTCCCTTTGCTATCTCTGCCTGCTGTGATAATTGTAGAGACTAAGCTGAGATGGGTTGGCGAAGGGAATGAGGTATTGAAGCAAAAAATGAATGCCTCTCTTCAGGGAGGACAACAAATGGACAAAGTGGCCTGTAGGGTAAAACGATAGAAGATCTCTCACTCGCTCCTTTGCTCTCAGTGCTTCATTCTTTTGTAGAGGAAGAATTCCGTTTCAGAAAAGATTTTAAGCCATGAGCTAAATCAGCTCTGAGATGAATCACAACATTACAAATTTGGAATGGAGGCAAAAAGACAAATGTACAAAAGTATGCACTTAAAGGGGACATCGGATGCCCATTTTCCACAAGTTGGTATGATTCTTTCGGGTCTTCATGAAATGTCTGTAACATACTTTAGTTAAAATTCCTCAGTGGTCGTGTAAAACAACACTTTTTTTTACCTTGTCAAAAACAGCTCTGTTCACAGCGAGCCGCTTCTGTGCATGTCTCGTTAAATGATACTGAGCTACTGCTCACACACACCTCTCTTTCGTGGAGTGTGTCGACCATAGACTGTATAAAAACATGGACGTAGTGTCCGTGACGTCACCCGTAGATTTCTGAGGAGCGTTTTTGAAGCTCAAAGTGGGCGGAGCAGGCCGTCGCCATCTTGGCAGCGCGTCACCGCGCGTCACTTCTGGATAATCGAAAATGAGCAAAGAGGTGGGAGCAGGTTGCTGAAAACACGCCCACCTAGCTCGACGGTGGTGACAGCAGCGGCAATCCACCTGTCACTCAAGTGGCCACGCCCTTAATTATGCAGAAACTTAAGGCTTAATATAATTTAAACGGATGAGTTATAAAAAAATTCACCCCCCTCACAGTTGTCATGAAGGGCAAAATTAGCTATATAGACCAAAATCATTTTTTGAACCAGGCTGTAAACATGTTTTTTTCTGCTGTAAAGTTGGGCATTTTAACATGGGGAGTCTATGGGATTGACTCCCTTTTGCAGCCAGCCTCTAGCGGCCAGTTGATGAATTACAGTTTAAGTCACTTCCTTGTTGGCTTCACGAGAGAGAGCGGGAGGTTGCCGCTTGGTGTTGACACAAGATGCGTGCATTGCTGCCTTGGACTCGGAGGTGGTCTTATTCAAATAGCTAGCTATCTGCGTAGAAACCGGCTGCAGATTGAAACAGCTCGCTGGATGATACAGTTTCAGACTCAGACCGCTCATAACAAACTGGCTGTGTGTTTTCTTTTCAGCTTTTCTGAGCTGGCAGACACGCCAGAAATTAAACTAAATGCAGAAAAGCTAAAAAAATAAAATAAAAAAGTGAAAATTTCATCCGAATTTCACCCCTTTAAGCTAGTCATTCCATGGACGTGTTGTCTAGGACAAAAGTGTTTGTGACACAATAAAAGGGATGTTTGCACAAGATATCTTCGTTATCGTGAAACATTGATGTGTATTGACTTAAAAACAGCCGAAGATTGAGTGATTTCCTCATAGCCAACCTTTGCATGTTTGCGGCAAGTTTTTTCACATGTCTGCATTTCCTCTCTGGAAGGCTTCCTTACCAGAATAAAAACACTTCTACCTTATCATTTGTCAGTGGCAGTAACCATAGGGCAGAATTACTCTTGATTTTTAATGTACTTTAATGCAGTGGTTCTTAACTGGGGGAAGGGGCCCACTAGGTGGCATTGGCAAACTTCTTGGGGTGCCCGAATAAGTAAAATATATTAATTAAATGCTATTAATTAGGCCTACATATCAGATTAGATAGGAGGGTCTTTGTATATTGTCTTGGTCAAAGGGGGTCCTTGGAGTCAAAAAGGTTGCTTTAATGTGCTTTCCGTTGATTTCCTAGTAATGATGAAACAAAGTAAAAAGGACCTGCTTTTTGACTGGATGAAAAAACACATTTAATGGTTTTAGATGCACATTTTGTTTTTAATGTTTCAGAATTTATTACTTTAGTTTTTCCATGCCAGATTCCAATAACATAATGCCATGTATAACAATCTTATTGTCATTTTGACTTCTATTTTGTTTATCACATTTGTAGCGACCCTTCACAACCCTTCTTTCTCTCTCTAGCTTAGAGCTGTTGTATCTGGGTGGTAACCAGATCTCCTCCATCCCTGCTGAACTAGCTAACTTACCCTGCCTCAGTTACCTAGTTCTGTGTGATAATCGCATCCAGAGCGTCCCACCTCATCTCAACAAGTAAGTCTGAGATGTCACGCAAATGCTTGCTAGCAGAGTGTGCCTAATTGTCCTTCAGGGCTGCACGGTTTGGTCAAAAAAAACATATTGCAATTATTTTGATGATAAACATTGAACAGATCATCAGGGTTATTATTGTTACCTGAAACTAAAGACATAAAAAAAAAAATATTACTTGAAATAAAATAAGCAAAAAGCTTACATTTCAGCTAATTGTTATTTTGTTAAATTTGAAATACTAAAATAAATACAAATAAAATGTAATAAAAAACTACATACATTAAAAAAAGACAAAAACACAACAATTACTAAAATTTAAATGAAAACAAAATATATAATTAAAAATATTAACAAACTATAATAGTAAGATGAATGATACTAAAATAACAATGCAGCTAATATTGATTCTTCTTAGATATCCCAAAAATGATATTATATTAGGTATTTCATATATAATAAATATTAGATAATATGTATTAATATTATGTGATATATTACAGTACTTAGTAGTAGTAGTAGTAATAATAATAAAATAAATATTAAAGATGTTTTTTTTTTTTGCCTGTCCTGCTGTTCTTTCCACCCTCACAGGCTCCATTCCCTGCGCTCTCTTAGTCTGCATAATAACCTGCTGACGTATCTTCCGAGAGAGATCCTGAGCCTGGTGCATCTTCAGGAGCTCAGTCTCAGAGGCAATCCTTTGGTTGTACGCTTCGTCAAGGACATGACCTACAAACCCCCGTCGCTGCTGGAGCTGGCTGGCCGAACCATCAAAAGCAAGAACCTTCCATACTCGCATAAAGACCTCCCAAGCCATCTAGTCAACTACCTAGACATGGCCAGCAAGTGCCCCAACCCCAAGTGCGCAGGTGGGAGGAGAAACATGATATAAAGACTAGTTTATATACGTAGATATAGATATGTTCATATAAATTTATATTGAAGTTATTGCTATAGCACTTTTCACAATATGTATTGTTTAAAAGCAGCATTACAGAAAATGCTTGCTTCAATGTGAAACTTGGGTCGTATTCTGTTATCAGCCAGAGATGAATCAAAGTAATGTCAATATGGCATATAAGATAATACATGTTATGTGGTTAGTTAACTTTATGTACTTAGTTATGTAGACACAACCTGCTAAGCAGCGATTACAGTTTGTGCTTTTAATGATTACAATATACGGATACAGTTTTGTATGTTGATCATATATAAAATAATGTGCTCTCAATTGATAGTTCACCCAAAAATGAAAACGCCACCTCTATGACTTTCGTTCAACTACTGAATATGAATTAAAAAGGTTTTAGTATTATATATAATATTACATATTTTCTCCCTCCTTTGAAAGTCTAGGCAACCAACATTTTCAAGCTTTAAAAAGTTCATAAAGAGATTGTAAAAGTAATCCACATGAATTGAGCGGAGAAACATGATTGCCTTTATTCACATTCAACACACACATACATAAGGTGCGGTCACATTTAACATTGTTCAGCAATGTTTCGTGGGTGAAATGCAGTTTTCACGAAATGTTTCCAAACATAGATTTCGCAACAAGTTCAGATTGGTCACAAGTTGGATTCATTGCATTGACCAATAGAAAGCTGCTTTGTTTGAAAGTGAACGCAGCATAGAGAGCAAGTCAAATATGTGTACTTAAACTGTTTGATTGATATGGGTATGGTAGTTTACAGTGTCTTTACAAAATAAACATACATTTTTGCTTCAGTGGAGGAACTGAATCTCTTAGGTTTCATTACAAATATTGTAATTTGTGTTTCAAAGATGAACAAAAGTCTGGGTATGGAATGACATGATAGTAATATAGTATAGTTGTGGTGTGAACTCTGCTATTCTTTTCAATTTTGGACGAATCTATATCTTTATCATTATAGTTATCGTCCTTGGTGTGAATGGATCTTTAGTCAATTTAAAACAATTTCTAACCATGTTATATCTCACCACCTCATTCCCAGGCGTTTACTTCGACTCATGCGTTCGTCACATCAAGTTTGTGGATTTCTGTGGGAAGTATCGCCTGCCCTTGATGCACTACCTGTGCTCCCCAGAATGCACCTCTCCCTGCAGCTCCAACCCTCAGAGCGACGCTGACTCAGACGATGACAACAGCGTGCCTGCCGATCGCCTTCAAAGAGTGCTACTGGGATAACCTCGCTCACCCCGTACACGTCTCCTTCTCTCTCACTTACAGTGTTATCAGGAAGAACATTGAACTTTACAGCCAGCTGGCTTGAAAACCTCTCAGCTGAAGCCAAATCTTATTGCCAAGTGATTGAGCAAGTGGCATTCTGGGAAAGACATCTGCAGATAGTTTCCCTTACAAAGGCCTTGCTTTGCAAAGGCAAAATCAAAAACACTGGCGGTTCAGAATAGTTGTTAGTTATATTAACTAAGTTGCCTTGGTCATCACTCTATTTAGCTCTTGCACTTTTGTAATACGTAGAAGGCGCAGTTTAGGTACATGTATATCTTTTGCTTTGCAATAGGTTGCTTTGTCTCTCACAGGAGAGCACTAACTTAATTCTTTTTACATTATGCACACAGATTTACTGTGAATTAAGAAAAAATAAACATTGAGAACCCTTGGTCTTTGGGCTTGTGAGAGGTTTTCTTCGTGTTTGTAACTGCGTGGCCTGCAGCACTGTAAGACAGGGCTACATCTTCAAAAACATGCGTTTGTGTCTGCAAAATATCTTGTTTTAATTTAGAATTTGCGGACACCCTGCGGTTGCATTCAAAAACCGGGGCAGCATCTACGATAAACAGTGACAAAGGTCACCAGTCACTTTGTTTTGAAGGTTAATTCTTTATTCTGCATCAATATAAACTGTGATATTGTTACAGGGCCAATGGACAAATTTGTGAAGTGTTTCTGGCATTTTTTTTTAAACTGAACTTTGTTCTTCAAACACTTCCTGTTTTATAAACTCCCTCACTTTCTTTAGTTTCTTCACATGTGCCTTACACTCTTAGGCTTTACCAGTATTGATTATGCAAATAACTAATGCAATCATTATTTCTCAGAGTTTTAAAATTCATATCTAAATAATCTTTTATGATATTTTCTATATATCAGTGACAAGATAGAATGTATTTTATTTAAGATGATGAAGGCAGATTTGGATTACATTCACTCCTCTACTGGTTTATAAACATGTATTTGCACTTCTTATGTAAAGTACTATAATAAATAATAATAATAATAATAATTTGTGTGTGGGTCACTTTTTTCTAATTAATATTTTATGTTTTTCTGGAATAAAGCCAGTGCTTTCAAAACATTTCTGCAGTTCTGTTATATAAAAATCTAGAAGTATATAATTTCTAGTGAAACTGGTAGTAATACCCAGCTAAACCTTTCATTGGGATCATAGACTATGACAAAAATCCGTTCAAGGCCGTGTTATTAGACCGTTAAAGATTATGTATCTGGAGCTACCACTGTTGCACTCATGTTCAAATCACCATGGTAATACCTTGGTACTTTGTTGTATGTGACGAGTATAATGTGAAGTGTAAAGGGTGTAGGTGAGTCTATTTTTTGGAAACAATAATAAAAAAAAATTTGGTTACGATCTAGGGCTCCCCAGCTTCCTACCCACCCACCTTGCAGGTGTCACCCTACTTCCAGCTTCACGAGGGGGTCCGTAAGGCCCCCCCTCCACCGCTGCCCTCGTTTCTCGTTTTCTGACGAGATCTGAATATTTTGCATCATCAATAGCGGTGTGAGCTTACGTTATGTCTGGGCAGGCTGCTTCTGGCCTTCATTCCTTGGCCATACTGCAGGTACACTAGGCCACAGTGTTGAAGGATCAGCCTCTCTCTCTGGGTGACCACGGCACGGCACAAACTCTTGGTCTGGCAATAGCCACAATGTTGGTGCAGGAGCTTGCAGAGAGGAAGGAGGCTGAGAAGGTATAATTTCTTGACACCCCCATATCCCCAACAGGACTCTGACGAAGCCGTGGAGGCCTCTACCCAGCAGTTCACAGTAGTGAAGAAACACACAGAAGCCATAAAGCACATCCTGCCTCGCTGGACCTCGGCTGCTGCATGGTCAATAAGGTCATCGTCAGTCTGGCGCTGCTGCTGGTTTCTAAATATCCCTGAGGTTGATGGTCCAGCGAATGATCATTTGCTCAATGCCTGCAGTCTGACCCAAAAGATGGCACTTACCACATTCGTTTGCCCTGTGGAGGGCCAGGATGGAGCGATTTCTGTTAAAAATTTTGGTTTAATTTTGAAGGAGATGGCAATGTCAGGCACTGAAGGGAGTGATTTCTGAAAAAAGAGCTAATTTCTCATCCGCTGCATATTACACCTGTAAACTATGTCAGTGGATCTCATGGACATAATGGGCATGCGTTGAGCACCAGCGATGCAGTACCTACGGACGCAAACCCTTCACCACTTGCTTGCCCCGCTTTCTTGTGTGCTATTGTGTGGCCCCAGCAGAGTGGCCCCTGGGCCCCTGTTATCAGGCTGGGCTACCCAATTCAGTTTGAGGTGCCCGTCCAGGTTCAGTCACATTTTGTGTGTCATGGCTACAATCTGCATGGTATGTGACGCTCCACAGGTTGGTTGGTGCGGGTGACCTTAGTCCCACAAATTGCACTCCCACTGGAGAGTTGGTGTGATGGTGGGCCATTCACTGACCTTCAGTGGTTGCTGGCCCCTGCTTGGGTACCTGTCAAAGTGTGGACTGGTTGCACAGCCTGTCGGCAGCACAGTAAGTATCCCTGAGGATGAGCTCATGCAGGAAGATGCCCCAGACTTTGGGGTCCTCAGCCCTGTGAAAGCCTTTATTTGGTGGTAAGACTGGTTATGGGCAGTCTAAACGTATCGTATCTGAGGAACAGTGCATCTTCCAGAGCAAGCCACTGGCCGGCTCACTTGGAGTCTGATCTTGCCCCCTATATCAGAGGTGTTCGGAGGAGTTTGTTTGAAACAATATCTCATTCCGTCCATCAGTGCACAGAGGTTACAACAGTAACCAAGACGTTATCTTGCCTCACATTATACTTTACCCGAGGTTAACCATCAGTCCTGGGTATTCATAAACTGACGTTTCACACGGTGCATTGCTAATCCCACAATATGCTTACATAAAGGCTCTAGAGTTGCGCATTCTCATATTATATATGACTATTAAGTTTTCCAGAATGGATTTCAAGTGTAAGATTCTAAGTGTAAGAATGAAACACACTATTCTTCTCTCCACTTCACATTTTTTCCGTCACCATTTCAATATTTTTCCACTCAAATGCTGAAATGTCTCTTTCTACAATGCATGTAGACTTAACATTCTAACACTACATCATTTCATACTGTGTTTGGCACAGAAATGTGAGGTTAATACTGCAAAAGCTTATAAATTAGTGTGAAACATACCTTTATCCAGGGTTAAAAAACGATAACCCGGGGTTAAGCACAGTATGAAAAGCCCTATTAATTTTTTCCCCCAATTTTAGCTAAATAGTGGGCATGATTTAACTAAACTAAAACAAGGTAACAAATTAGTTCAACATATGTAACTAAACTACAATTAACTAACCACAGTTTAACTAAAATGGGGGATTACATTAATAAAACATGGGCATACATTAATCATGGCTTGAGTCATGAGAATTAATTCTTAATTTGTTGCCAAGACACCTATTTCTCCTTTTGCCAAGTCAAGCCAAGTCTGCTTTATTGTCAATTCTTCCACATGTACAGCACATACACACAGAGAATTGAAATTGCGTTACTCTCAGACCCTTGGTGCATACAGATAACACTAACAGTAGAACATAAATACAGATATACAGATTAAATATAAAATACAACTATACAAATAAGGTAAAATGTAAAAAAAATATATATAAAAAAAAAAAAAATAAATAAAATTTTGCATGTTATATACATAAATCATCCTCCAATCTCTTAATGAATACTTTTCACTCGTGATAATGTGGTTCCGTTGCTTCTTGCTAACATTTTGTAAATGTTTGTGAAGCCTGCACTTTTCTGAGCATATTCAGAGTGATTACCTGTTGCTTCTGTAACCTCTAACTTATGCGTAAAAAAATTTTGCATTCAAGGTATTGAAATTTAAATGTGTTTTAGTTGGCACGATTGACTCCCCTCAGAATCCATTAGCCAGACACTTGTCAGTTCAGATGGTCAGCGAGAGATTCAGCGTTTGGCCAGTGAACACTCAGAACTGAGTTCCTTCATTTGCATATGAAAGCCATCTCGTCACTGCCACTGAATACAGAGGGACTTTCTTTTCACCTTCCAAATTCAGTTTTATTCTTTACAGGACACTCTTTCTTTGAAGGAGAAAGACCTAGTAACACAAATTGATGCCACTCTTTTTTCACTTTATTCTGTCCTGCTTTCACTCTCTGTGAGGATTGTCTAATCTTTGATGGGTTTTGAGGGACAGATGTGTTATTTGTCCTGCAGTTTGTTTGACCAGTTTTTAAACACTTGTTAGAAGCTCAAAGCCCCATGGCACCCTACTGACAGCACATTGAAAGTGTCTCTGCTCACTTCAGTGCACCTCAATATATACTGTTGTGAGTTCTGAGATGTCGCTTTTTCAGAGCTTGAACATTTGCTTAATGCTGAAATTTGTTAAATTGTTCTTTTCACATCATTTATCTCTCTTCTAGTATTTATTACCTTGAGAGCAAACAATGCATATTCATTGTGGAGTTCAGAAAAGCCTTTAAATGTCTTGCTACAAGTTTAGAGAACAAAATATCTATTAGCTAGGGGTTCCTAAACTTTTTATAATCATATATTTTGAGACATATAATCTTAAGACCATCTTAACGCCATTGCATTACCATAAGACCATGGAATATATTATTATTCCTTGCCATTTTGATTTTATATCTTTAATTTTGTAGTTAACATCTCACAAGTTCATACCTTGCAATTCAGACTTTCATTCTCAGAATTTCTTGCCATTTAAAGTTCATATCTCGCAATTCTGACCTTATTTCTCAAAATGTGAGTTTATATTTTGCAATTTGTACTTTTTCTCTGAATTCCAAGTTTATGTCTGTTTTAAGGATCTGTCTGTAGCCCTTTATTTTTATTTATTTATTATTTTTTTCACTGCCCTGTGTCTCACAATTTAAATGCATGGCTGTTTATGGGACTTTCGTGTTTTGGTCCTTGAGTTGTCCCTTTAAAGCATGACACTCTGTAATTAATTTAATTTTCTGTTTACAAAATTGATCTGATTATTCTAAGTCTGAGTTCTGAGGGCAGTAAATAAAGGGTATCAGATGTTTTGATTAAAGGTCAAAGGTGTACAAAAAAACCCTCATAATCAATGAA